TATCCAACGTGAGCAAGGTGATAAATCCAGAAAACAATGATTTTGTCAAGAACAGACAGTTAAGGAAAATCTGCTGGACAATCTAACTTTTGTCAACGAGTAAATAACAAAAAATTATAATTTAATTCTCTATAAAAACATCTGCAAAACGTGTTAATACTTATTTTCCACTCATCCTACTTGGGCCTGACTGTGTTGGATTTTCTTCTGTACCATCATATCATCAAGCTGTCTTCCATCCTAAAACGTTGACATTTAAACTGCAAAGTCCCATTATAGACAGGGTCTGTGTTCTGTCAGACCATCATACTTCGTCAGACCAGCAAACTCGTAGTCAATACGCAAGGTGTCAGATTTGCATTCGCGTACGTTAGTCCAGTTTATCCCTTTAGTCAGGTATTAAAAACAATTTAAGGTCAGATTTCCATACGCTTAAAAATAACACCAAAAAGTAAGTAATTAAATAGTTTTTTTTGTACTTGACTAAACGGATACACGCCCTTTGAGGTAGTTTAAAAGGTATTTTTTCTACCAGCTGAAGGGATAAACGGGGATTGACTATCGCTATGCTAATCTGACAGAACAGCGGTTCTAGGCATGATACAAAGGGGTGGCAGGCAGAAATGTGAAGGGGGCATCTTCATCCACACACATTATACTTTAGCATGTTTAATGTTATTGTCTAGTTGTTTTTTTCTAAATGTTATTACAGTGATGACTGAAAGCTGAAATTTTCAAAAACTTAATTCAGCATTTCAATAGAAGAAGGCATTTCCTTCAAAGGTTTCCGTTTATAAAATAATAATAACAGTGTGATTGTTTTTAATGTAACTGTATCATTGTCAGCCTTTTTCAGCCTTATGAAAATCATTATGATAAAGCGATATCAGCAATTAAATGAGCTTTTTCTGTTTATTTTATTAGGGTATTTTTTGTGTATTTTTATTAGGTCTAAAATGCTATTTTGAAAGACACCATTACATGCATACAGTTCTAAATCAATTCATTTCGATTCGATCAGTTTTTACAATAATGAAAGTGGTACTCAAGTATTTTGTTTTTTCCTGTCACATTAAACACAAAGTGCAAACTTGTAATTCAGACAGTTTAAACATGAGATGTGAACAGCTCATCTAAATATTCATGATCATACCATAAAAGGAAGAAATCCTGTGGTTTCATTCTAGGCATTTTAACCAGGCTTGAATTAGGGGTCATAGAACAGCTAATATGCCATTTTCAGACCAACCAATGTTACACACCCTGTTCAGAGACCTTAAATCATAGGCAGGTTTTGAAACCTAAATTATCTCTTCAGATTAGTTTTTTTTAGAAAGAACGTTATCTTTTCAAAGCTGTCATCATACCTGTTAGTTTATTTATTCGTTGTCCTACCAATTTTTGGGAAGCAAAACATCTTTAAACTTAGAAACGAAGTTGAGTGGATTGTTGTCAGGTTCATTTTCTTAAGAGGAAC